CCCCAAAACCCCAAAACCCCTTCATTCAAATGCCAAATTATGTGCAAATTTAATATCTTCTGACTAATCTAATAATATAAATAATATTTTAATCAAGTGGATTAGTTGTTTCTCAGTCCAACATCGAAGTAATCATCTAAATTTCTCACTTCACTCTAAAAACTCTCCCTTTCACTACTATTAATCCTTGAACTCTCTTCCAACAACTGCTACTAATTTAATGTCTTTTTTCTCTTCACAACGAAATCTTCGTTCTTTAATACTGTCTCCTCACTTTCTGTAAGGGTTGCTTCTTCTTCTATGACATGCATTCTTTTTGTCTTCTTAACTTGTTGAGCTAACTTATACAGCTTTTCCTCATGTTTTGATTTTTGCTTGTCTAACCTTTCAACTGCACCGTACATATCAATAGCAAAAGCAACTATAATATTAAGTCCTACAAGCACACCCCAGTTATAGAAGGTAACAAAATAAAGTAGAACAAAATTATTCCCTCCTGAAATATTTACATACATCTCTGTACTTATATACCAGTTGTTCACAACCATTAGCTCAAATAATGTTACGTAGCTTGAGATCATGTCGTTGAAATTATTCAGAGAATAGAGATCTGGTGTTGAATCATTATTTCTAATTTAGGGGGAGTCTGTTCTCACTTTACCACCAAACATCAGCATTCCTAATAGGGCATAGAAATAAAATAGTGAAAACTGCACACTAAGCAAAGAAGAAAAAGGAACTAGAAGAGTTCTTAGGGCCTCAATGATAATTCTAAATGATCTCACTTCATATAAATATATTGAAAGTCTTAATACTCTGACAATCGCAACAATTTCAAATATCTTAATCACATTAAACATAAATGTGAAGTCAAGGTAATTTTCTGAGTAAATTTAGCTTGGATCCTCGGCTTTTTAAGCCCATTATATGATTCCAACAATGAAAAATATTAGGCATAAAGTTTCAACTAATACTCTAGGATGTTTTTGATAAGATCTCTAAAGACCTAAATATATCCAATCAAGAATGAGCGTAATTGAAAAGAAAAAATTAATTATTGTCTGAATGGTCAACCAAATATCTATTTATTCGCTTGAATCAGAATAGAATCTATCTCTGAAAGCTATTTCACTGAATTAAAAAATTGCGATTATGTTAAGAACGTACTCGTAGTTAAGGGATCTAATAATGCTTCGGAGACTTGTTTTAATCATCATTCCTGATGAACGTGTAGATTGTATGTCAGTTCTTTAATCAAAGAAGTTTGATTAGGTCCATTCATACTTCCATAGTTCATAGACTTCAAAAATTTTCATGAATTCTTGCTTGAATATCTTACCTTGATTTTGATTATCCACTATACTATCAAGAAGGTAAAACATATGATCAAAGTGCTCTTGTTTTATGTTTACCTGATCTTCTTAGACATCTAGTAGATGTATCTACTTAAACATTTCATAAGTCTCCTATTTATTTAAGTATCCCTTGGATTCCTTATCTAGTTCATTAAATTTCTTATCTAGAAAGAGATTTCTTTACTCGACAAATCTAATTAGTTGCTCCTCATATCTATTTTTATAATTATTATAGAATACTGCCATCAAGAGATTCAATATCAGGAATAAACCAATCAGCAAAAATATGATAAAATATAAACTTAGAACACGGGAGTATTAGTAAGCTGGAAGCATTATATCGGGGAAATTTGAAGTAGTGAGTAAAACTAGCATATTATATAAACTGTCAACATACGTCTCAAAATATTAAACTCCCTCAACTGTGCCTAGAAATAATCTCATCCCTAGGTAAGCAAAGAACATTATATAGATAATGATAAAAAGCACCATTTAAAAGGAATCTATAACCACTTAGATGAATCTTCTCCAGGTTTCTCTTACAATTTTAATGATAATTACTAACAAGAAGTTTCTAAGTAAAGCAGCAATCCAAGGAAAAGGATATTCAGCAATTACAAAACTTAAAAATACATCTAGATATATGAGCACACTCAAAGCAAATTGAATTCTAAAGTATCTCTCAGAGTTTCTAGTTTGTTTCAGAAACATTCTCTTTGAAATCTAAAAGAGGAGAAGTATAAGTATAAGAACTAGCTAAAGAATCTTTGAAGTTGTTGGAGAAAAATATGGTATTCCAGAATTAGGGATTAATCCTTCTGCATTGCATGAGTTAGTATCTTTTAAATTAGGATCTCTTAAACACCAATCTGGTTTCTCAAAAAACATTAGAATGACTAAGCCCAGAAGAGTAAAGTTTCTCAAAAAATTAAGCTTGACGTAAATTTTTCTTGCTAGTTTTCCTCTATCTGTTTTAATCATTCTAATATTTTTCTTTATTCCTTTGTCAATCATCATCATAATATGCTAAGTATTTACATCACCAGCATAAATAAGCTTCTCGGAATTTATGTTTGAGTTCGCTCTCGAGTCAACACTCATTTTTAGATATTTTAATAAAATTAAATAGATAAAAATTAAATAAACCCAAAGACTAGATTTTTACAATTAATTATTTACTAATCTCACTGCCATAATCTGCCTAAATACCTATGGGGTTTTGGGGTTTTGGGGTTTTGGGG